GAATAATGGTGGCACATGCAACCTAGGAGGCTTCCTGCATGGGGTGCTTCCGTGTGGTGATCGGTCAGAGAGTAGTGCCCAGAGAAGCTGTGGATGCCCCATCCCTGGAAGTGTTCAAGGCCAGGCTGGATGAGGCTTTGAGCAACCTGGTCTAGTGGAAGGTGTCCCTGCCCATGGCAGGGGGGTTGGAACTAGATGGTCTTTAAGGTCCCTTCCAACCCAAACCAACCTGTGATTCTGTGATGTATATATCAAAATAAGCACAACGCTGAGGGCTGCGTTTAAAGCAAAAATGGAAGGAGGGTGGGATGGAGGAGGAATTTTTGGGGGGGTGAAGATTTTTTGTTAAGCTTTCAAGCACATCACTTACAAGATGGAATAAGTTAAGATTTGAGGGGAGTTTTTTTGTCTCAACAAAATACATGATCACTAGTTGGCCAGATTTCCTTACTGATAACTTTATAAAAGAATTATATACCTAGGGAAGAGGGCAGGAGAATACACGCATACCCCCCCACACATGACGAAGCGTGTTTATCTTGCAGAGATTGCTTTGGGTGTTGTGATGCCCTCTTATAAGTAACTGCAAAATACTCAATTATAGCATCAGGTCTAAAGCTTTCTTTTTTCCCTCTAACCAAAACAGGAGGAAGAAATGGATATGATGACTGAGAAACAGAGAGATACTAGGTATTTCTGGAACAATACTCCTGAAAAAAGCGATTACGAGGCTGTAGAAGCCCTTATTTCTATGAGTTGCAACTGGCAATCAGACTTGAAAAAACATGCAGAAATGAGACCGATAACTCCAGCATCTGATATGTCAGAAGAGAGTGACGAGACTTTGCTTCCTGGAGCAGCAGATTTTAATGCGATACCAACATTTGTAAGTTGATTTTTTTTTTTTTAATTTGTACATTTGCATTTGTAAGTTGTGGGTTTTTTTCATTTGTACATTTGTACACATGTGCGCTTGTTTTTAACAACCGTGGTGGCGATCTGTTGGTAATGGGCCCCTGTGTCTGTGTCTCCCTGTGCAGTGCCTGACCCCCCCCTACAGCCCTTCCGACTTGGAGATGTCGCAGGCGGTGCATCCAGCCGCCGCGGTGCTCGGCACCTCGCTGGCTGAGGTTGCCAAGTCTCTGGCTGCAGCTCGGAGGGAGGCAGAGAGGCCTCTGAAGGCTCAAGCCACCAGTGTTATCCGCCACACGGCTGATGCCCAGCTCTGCGATCGCAAAACCTGCCCGGTGAGAACAGCCAGCGTGCTGAAGTACCGGGACAGTGCGTCGAGGGAGACGAGCAGCAAACCAAATGCCGAAGCAGAACAGTCAGTGTGTCCCGCCCTGGCGCCAAGCAGAGCCAGCGATGAGAGCGGTGAACTGCCGGTGGCTGAAGGACAGCCCGTGGAACCAGCTGTCAGTCCGGTGCCCTTGACAAAGCCCTCCGTCAGCAGGCATCAGCCTGTCCCCGGATCGGCACAGCAGTCGGCAGCAGTGGCCCCGCCGTGCCCCGCCCAAGGCAGTGGAGCGCCCCCTGTGCCGGTGATCTGCCAGATGGTCCCCCTGCCCGCAAACAACAATGTTGTGACAGCCGTAGTGCCCAACACCGCACCGAGCCAGCAGCCGGCTCTCTGTCAGCCCATGGTCTTCATGGGCCCTCAAGTTCCCAAAGGTGCCGTCATGTTTGTTGTTCCCCAGCCAGTTGTGCAGAGCACAAAGGCTCCCGTTATCAGTCCGAACGGTACGAGACTTTCTCCCATTGCCCCCGCTCCTGGCCTCGTACCTTCTGCAGCAAAAACCGCTCCTCCGGTTGATTCTTCCAGAATAAGGCGGCACATTTGCAGCTACCCAGGATGTGGGAAAACATACTTCAAGAGCTCCCACTTGAAGGCTCACGTCAGAACACACACAGGTTGGTCCGTGTTATGGGGTGTTCATGTAGAAAACTGCAGCTAGGTACACGGCTTGTTAAGGTTGTAGCCGTCACCCGATTTGCTCGTGGAACAGACTGTGGGGCCGCAGTGAAATGCCTTTTTTTTGCCAGCGTGCGTTAGAACGCTGCCTAATCCCTGACGGGAAATCTCCCAGAGGGGAAGTTGACTCAGCAGTTTGTTTGTGCTGGACTCGCTTCATGTCAGAAGGCGTCCAGCAATGCTTCTTATGGCTGTGGCAATGAGGCCTTGCCCAACGTGGAGTATGCTTTTCCACAGCTAAAGGTGCCTGATTAGGCTTCTCCACAAGAATGCCTTTGTCAGAAGTGGGTAAAACATAGAGATTCTTTTATGAAAGAATGTCAGGGTCCACTCCAAGCTCCTCCTTCCTACCTTGGTTATTTTAGTGTAGCTTCTCCATGCCTCAGCTTTTAATCGCAATGTGTATTTTCACATAGGCTCGCTCCGTTATGTAAAATGTTACTCCAGGTTGCGTTTCGGAGGGTTTTGGCTATGCCAAGTCCTCATAATCTGGAGTTAAAGTGGATCTGAGAGTTCAAATTGGCTGCCTGGAGATGTAAAGAGCATTTCGTAGTGTTTGGCTCCAGAGAACTGTTAACCCTTTGTCCTATTTAGCCTTCAGGATAGTAGGGAGTTTGCATGTTCCAGTATTGGTATAGAAACAATTCTTTCACATTTGGTGTATATGAAAGTAATATTTATGTCAGTTTGTGGCTCAACTGTCAGAGTAGCAACTTTTCCCTAAAGGATTCAAATCTTGCCAGTCAAGGCAGTGCTGTTTGTTGCTCAGTTTGTCCTCACTATGTCATTTTCTTTTCTTTCAGGGGAAAAGCCGTTTAGCTGTAGCTGGAAAGGCTGCGAGAGAAGGTTTGCGCGGTCTGATGAACTGTCTCGCCATCGCAGGACGCACACCGGCGAGAAGAAGTTTGCCTGCCCGATGTGTGAGCGGCGGTTCATGAGGAGCGACCACCTAACGAAGCACGCGCGTCGCCACTTATCGGCTAAGAAGTTACCGAACTGGCAGATGGAGGTGAGCAAGCTAAACGACGTCGCCGTGCCGCCGCCACCTGCGACCGCGCAGTGAAAGCGCGGGCTCTGAACACGGTGGAATTGACTGCTGTCGCTGGAATGACGCCAGCTGAAAAATAAAATAAAAAGGCTTTTTTCTCCTGGTCTGTGGTTCTCCCGCGCCGGCTGCTGACGGCAGTGCGGCAGAGGGGCTAAGGCATGCTGTGCTCCGGCACGGAAAAGGTTGCTGGGGGAAGAGCGGATGTGTGGTGAGACAGGAGAGAGAAAGGGAAGGTTCTAGAGCAGAGCAGCACACACTGTGCCCAATTTTGCAAATTATTCCTGTATACTCCAGAGGAACCATGTGTTAGTGTAGCTGAGGGTTTGCTGCTGGCACTTGACACCAGCTCCCATTTTAACTTCCGGTTGTCAGCCTTCGGTACAACGCCGACTGGGAAGTCAGCAACGCGGCGGGCGCGGGCTGGAAAGCCTGGGACGTGCCTGTGCGAGAAAACCCAAGCTGGTTGTCCTACTTTTGCCACCCCTTCTTGGAAGGAATCTCTTCCGGCCCACTCAAAAGCCATGATCTGGCGCCAAACTCCCGGAGATTTTAGCCCCGCTGTCCTGCGTGGGGTGCTTAGTACGCCAAGCTCGCTATGCCTATCCGGGGTGGACCTTGGGGTGGGTGTCGAGGGGCACCCGCGGGCGCTTGGCGGGTAGGAGCGTTTCTGGTTCTTCATTTGCTTGGTACTCTTTTTTCCCAGCTGTCTTGGCACGCTTTGCGATTACTGCAGTGGGTTGTGCTTGGGCATCGCACGATGCTCCTGCTTTTGTGCCGCTTAGGGTTTCCTTCCAACCTTCGCCCCGATCCGTCCCCACCCCCACGCTTTTCACGAACGGATACAGTGCACTTTGGAGAGAAACGCTGTAACTGTAAACTACTCGGCTTGATTAAGGAAGAAAACCCAGCATCTTGGGCTTCTTGATCATGTTATTCTTGGAAAGATGGTTTATACTAAAAATGAAATGGATATATTATGTATTGTATTAAATTAGAAAGTTGTGATTCAAAGAGCGAAACGAAGCAGTCAAGATGCCGGCCTGGAATCTGAACTGTAGCTTCTGTGACAAGTCATGCATCAACTTCCACTGTTTCTATTTTATCGTATGATGTTGAGGACACATATCAGAAAGTGAACGGTTTGAAACTAGTGTATTAGGTATGCTTTTGTGACTACTTTTAAAGATTTGCACATTTCTTATGTTGTACTTTATACTTTGTTTACAATAAATCCGATTTTCTTTAATATGGATCCCTCTCATCTTTCTCCGTAGCAGAACTTACCCCTTCTCAGGGAAAACTGCTTACAGCACCTTCCAATACCTGAAGGGGCTACAAGGGAGCTGGGGGGGACTTTTTACAAGGGTCTGTAGTGACAGGACAAGGGGTAACGGGTTTAAATTGAAAGCGGGGAGGTTTAGATTAGATATCAGGAAGAAATTCTTCATGGAGAGGGTGGTGAGGCACTGGAACAGGTTGCCCAGAGAAACTGTGGATGCCCCATCCCTGGAAGTGTCCAAGGCCAGGCTGGATGAGGCTTTGAGCAACCTGGTCTAGTGGAAGGTGTCCCTGCCCATGGCAGGGGGGTTGGAACTAGATGGTCTCTAAGGTCCCTTCCAACCCAAACCGTTCTGTGATAAAACGACCTCAAAGCGGTGTCCATCTACGCGTGTCCTGGCCAACACAATGCTGTCTTTGAAGATGTCATGCTTTTTCCAGCTCTACAAAGCCAACAGGAGTGGGATTTCAAGCCTGCGCTCACTGTTCAGACTCTTGGTGGGTTTTTTCATCCTTTTCTCCAAGCACCCAAAAACGTGCTTACGGAGGCTGTTACAACCTTGGTGAGCAACAGCTCCTTTTTTCCCAGCGATGGAACCGTACCGCCTTTCCCCAGCATGGAGCCCAACCCCTGTGTCCGATGGCCAGGCCTGGTCCCAGGATCTGGGACCAGATGCTTGGGTGGCACAGCCCAGGGCCAGCCGGCCACGTGCTTACTGCTGCAGCTCTCCAGGGCTGGGGCCTGCATCCTTGGAGCTGCCTCCCGCGGGAGACCGGGCCGCCCTGCCCTCCCCTGCCTGCTGGCATCCCCGGGTTGCACAGCGCGTGGTGCTGACTCACTGCCCTGCCCTGCAGGGTGTTTGGGACAGGGGCACTCCTTACCTTATCCTGTTGGACCCGGCACCCTGCCTCGGGAAAACCTGAGTCACTGCCCTTTCTTCTCGTTCCAGGGCGTCAATAGCCCCATGCAGAGCACACGCTCCCCCAGGAGTCTGACTCCCCATCTTGCTTCACTTTCACATTTTGTGGGCATAAGATAAAGTATTCTAACAGCTCTGGGTCTGAAACCCTTCACATCTGCAACTTGCCATTGGGCCAGGAATGCTGGCTCCCCTCCCCAGCTCCCTGGCACGCTGAACCTTCAATCCAGCTTTGTGCGTTGGCCCCACATGAGGGGGGCACAGAGAAGGGGCCACCCCCAATGTTATCCTGCCTGGCTGTGGCTCTCCTCAGCTTTGAACCCCCTCTAGCTCAGCAGGGAGCTGACCTGAAACCTGGCTTCCCAGGCTGCCCTGCAATGAAAGGGGAAGGGAGGGAGCTTCCGCCCCGTGGCCACCTATACCGCAGGGTTTTCCCAAGAAAAGCAGTTGCCAGAGCTTTTTGTGTGGTCCCCAGCTCTGGAGGGGTTGCCTGGGGCGTGCTCTGACAGCCCGCCAGTGCCACCCCGGGGAGGCTGCAGAGGAAAGCCTGTTTCTGGCATCGCCGGGAGCTAAATAAAATACAGTTTCTCACCCTAAATGCAGAATTTAACCGTACGAAGTGCTCTTCTGACTGATTCTAGCCAAAGGCAGGGCTGTAGTTGTTAATTTATTTCATGTACCATTTTTTAAAGCTTAACCATGCAAGCCAACTGGAAATTAAACCAGCCATTCGGGGATTTAATCCAAGTCTAACCTGAAAAATGGAGTTATTAGACATGTTATTAGACACTTTTTCAATGCTGAATTCACTGTGCCAACTTTGTGTGCACATTCAATTCACTGTGTGCAACTTTGGTTGCTATTGTGGTTTGACCCCAGTCAGTAACCAAGCACCACACAGCCGCTCACTCGCTTCCTCCCACCCTCTCCACGGTGGGACGGGGGAGGGAATTGGAAGAGCCAAGATAAGAAAGCTCGTGGGTTGAGACAAGAACAACTCAATTATTTAAAAAAAATGTCAAGATTAAGAATTGTAATTAAAAGGAAAACAACAAAAAGGATGAGAGAAACAAAACTCGGGAAAAACAAACGATGCAGCCACTCGCCGATCAACACCCAGCCGGTCCCTGAGCAGTGATCGCTGCCCACGGCCAGCTCCCCCCCACCCAGTTTATATACCAAGCATGACGTCATACGGTATGGAATGTCTCTTTGGCCAGTCTGAGTGGCTGCACTCCCACCCAGCTTCTTGTGCACCTCCCGGCTGGCAGAGCACGGGAGGCTAGAAAGGCCTCGACTTAGTACAAGCACCGCTTAGCAACAACCAAAACACCAGGGTGTTATCACATTATTCTCATGCTGAATCCAAAACACAGCCCTATACCAGCCACCAGGAGGAAAATTAACTGTATCCCAGCAGACACCAGGACAGTTGCACAATAGGAAACTTAATTTTTATCAGTTTTTTCTACACATTTCCATGAATTATTAGGGTTTCCTTACTCCTCTACGTATACGACAACCACATCTCATAGTTTTGCCTCCTATTTGGGTTTAATGATGAAGCCAAACAGAAACACAGCCCAGAAGGCCCTCGGCAGACCCCCGCGGTTAGCACTCGTATGCTGGGACTGGGGGGCTCTGGCTGTGGTGGGGCCTGCCGGGGCGGTCGCTGCTGTCATTTGCTGTGAGGGCACCCGGCTCCAGGGAGCTGATCCGAAGAGATCCAGGAGATCAGCACGTGTCTTGGAAGCAGATTTCGGAAGTATCTCTACACCCGTCATCTTCCTGCTTAGCACATACCTCCAAAGTGATGTGCCGCAGCGGTGACCTCGATTATGCGTGCTGGAGCAAGAGACATTCCCTGTCCTGGAGA